ATCTAGAACCCCCTACTCCTGGATGTGGACTGTGGAAGAGGAAGAAGAGGAAGAAGAAGAAGAAGAAGAAGAAGAAGAAGAAGAAGAAGAAGAAGAAAAGGCCCAGTGAGGTGTCTCAGGCCTGTAATCCCAGCATTTTAGGAGGCCAAGGCAGGAGGACCATTTGAGTCCAGGAGTTCAAGACCAGCCTGGGCAACATAGTGAGAACCCATCTCTGCAAAAAATAAAATTATCTGGGCATGATGGCACATGCCTGTAGCCACAGCTACTTGCAGGCTGAGATGGCAGGATCACTTGAGCCCAGAAAGTCAAGGCTGCAGTGAGACAAGATTGCGCCACTGCACCCCAGCCTGGCCAACGGAGCAATACCCTGAGAAGAAAAGAAGAAGAATAAAGAGAAGAAGAAAAGGAAGAAAGAAGAAAGAGAAGAAGAAAGAAGGAGGAGGAGGAGATGAAGAAGAAAAAGGAGGAGGAGGAGGAAGAGGAGAAGGAGAAGGAAAAGGAGAAGGAGAAGGAGAGGAAGAGCTTCTTCAGAAAACAATGGTTGCAAACACAGCCACTGTGCACAGGGCAGAGAAGATGGTCAGCACACACCAGACCTTGCTGACGGTCTGTTCAGAGAGAGTGGGTCTACTGGGGCTGGGCGATGAGCTCTGTCTGGTAGTTTAGCCAAGTATAACGTCCAAAGTAGGGTCACTGGGATGAAGACAAACAGGAGAACCCAAAGAACTGATCCTGGGAGTAGGGAGATGCCAGGTGGTCAAGGCCTAAAGGACATGATGGCTATGGTGACCGTGAAGTCCCCACTGCTGTACAACTAGCTCCAGACAAGCCACAGGGAAGCACTCACTTGCCGGCCCCATCATAATCTCCGCCAATCCCAATGAACTTGGATCCAATGACTGCCTTGATGTGGTCGAAGTGATCTGGGGAGGGGGCAGGTGGAGAGTCAGCTGCGTAGGGTTTCCAGGGCAGGGGTGCCACTGGGCTGGACGGCAGTGAGTCTCTTTGCAGCCTGTAGGCCAGGCAGGCTAATTCCTTCATGGCCTGCCACATAGCTTGGCAACCTGAGAACCCTGAGGTTTGACCTAAATGGATTCAGCTGGTTCTGGCCTGGACTTCAGGTTTGGAGTGGATCCACAGAGCCACCTGTCTGGGCCATTTCCCACCTAGGATTAAACCTGTCTCTAGTCTCTTTAGAATCTGGTAGGAACTCTTTTCTTTTCCTTTTTTATTTTTTCTGAGACAGTCTCTCGCTCTGTTGCCCAGGCTGGAGTGCGGTGGCACAATCTCGGCTCACTGCAAGCTCCGCCTCCTGGGTTCACGCCATTCTCCTGCCTCAGCCTCCTGAGTAGCTGGGACTACAGACGCCTGCCACCTCGCCCGGCTAATTTTTTGTATTTTTAGTAGAGACAGGGTTTCACCATGTTAGCCAGGATGGTCTCGATCTCCTGACCTCATGATCCGCCCGTCTCGGCCTCCCAAAGTGCTGGGATTACAGGCGTGAGCCACCGCGCCTGGCCGGTAGGAACTCTTTTCTATGGTTGTGGGAGATGACAGAGGGACAAAGAGTACAATCGACAAAGACCCCAGACACCTAAGGGGCCTTCCAGTCTCTTGGCCAGAGGCTGAGGCAGGGTGCTTTTGTGACCCCCTGCAGAGGCGCAGACAGTTAGCAGGTTCTATGTGTAGCTTCCTCCCTTATACCCATCAGGACTGCAGCATTGACTCTGTGGCTGCAGCTCCACATGACCAAGGTGCTGTGTACTGTCTATCATTGCATTTTTTTCAGTGAAACCACTGGGACAGTACTGAGGCCCTCCCAAGTCTTCAGGTGCAAATCAGAACTGTTCAGAGAGCCCAGGAGTAGGGGTTACCTGCCACAGTGGACACATTGGCTGACGGGTTGCACTGTATTACTCCCATGGACAGAGACACCATCACGATGCCACCGTTCTTCTTCTGCAGGGGCGGGCAAGTGGACACTCAGCCTGGCCCCTCAGCAAACTGCATTCCCACCCTGCCACCCTCTGGATCCCTGGAGGGGGTGTTCAGTCCTGGCTTCAGGAGTCAGAGGAAATTTTACCTCTCTGGTTTTGTGTGAATGGCGGAGTCTAGGCCCTGGTCTGGCACAGGTGTCTTGGCACTTACTTTGAGGAGTAGAGGAATATACATATTTATCATCTAGAACCCCCTACTCCTGGATGTGGACTGTGGGGTTGTGGAGCAAACGGTGTTCAGCCTGAAGTTAGAGGAAGTGGAGGGAGCAGGGCCTCAGGTTTGAGGGCTCCTGTTTTTTGTTTTTGTCTTTGTTTTCCGTGGCAGGGTCCCACTCTGTCACCCAGGCTGGAGTGCTGTGGTGTGATCTTGGCTCACTGCAACCTCCGCCTCCCAGGTTCCAGAGATTCTCCTGCCTCAGCCTCCCAAGTAGCTGGGATTACAGGAATATGCCACCACACCTGGCTAATTTTTGTATTTTTAGTAGAGATGGCGTTTCCTCATGTTGGCTAGGCTGGTCTTGAACTCCTGACCTGAAGTGATCCACCCACCTCTGCCTCCCAAAGTGCTGGGATTACAGGTGTGAGCCACCATGCCTGGCCAAAGGGCTCCTGGTTTGAACCTCTTGCTTGAGGTTCCTGTGCTGGGCAGTTTCTCACCAGAAGCTGCAGGATGTCATCAGGAACATTCCGAGCACTGTTGCATACACTTCGGGCAGCCGAGTGGGAGAAGATCACAGGTGCCTGTGATACTTCCAGGGCCCGCCGTGCCACAGCATCTGAGACGTGGGACAAGTCTACCATCATGCCCAGGCGGTTCATTTCTGCCACCACCTTCTGCAGGGACATGTTGGGGGAAGGGTATCAGGGATGCCCATGTGTGTACATTTATCTGTAAGAAACAGCTGGGGTGTGCACATCTGTGTGGGGTGGAGTTGTGAACCAGGGTCCTCACCTCACCAAAGCCAGTCAGCCCGCTGATGTTGTTGTAGAAGGAGTGGACGCCCTTAGCTGAGCTCTCTGCCCTGCAGGTGGCCAGGAAGCAGTCTAACTGGTAGCTGTTCCGTGGCCTCAAGAGCCTAGAGGCCCTACCCACCCTCCATCCCTGCAACCCCCTGAAACAAAAACAGGGATCCAAAATGGGCCATGCAAATGGGCCATGCCTGGCAGCAGGAGTGCCCTGCTGGGTCCAGTCTTTTTTTTTTTTTTCCCCTTTTTTTTAAGAGATGGCGTTTTCCCATGCTAGCCAGGGATGGTTAGCTCTTCCTGACCTCATTGATCTGCCCCTCGGGCTCCCGAAATGCTTTAGGTTTCAGGTTGTTGCAAGCCACTGCCTTCCCAGCCTATTATATTATTTTAAATTTTTAGGCCAGGGCACCAGTGGCTTCATGGCCTGTCAATCCCAGCCACTTTGGGAGGTGTGAGGGTGGGTGGATCACTTTGAGGTCTGGGCAGTTGAGACAGCCTGCCACATGGCTGGAAACCTTGTCTCTTCCAAAAAAATACAAAAATGTTATCTGGGCGATGGTGGTGCGCTGCCTATAGGGCCCAGGCCACTCAGGAAAACAGAGGTGGGAGGACTCATTTCAGGCCCAGGGGATTGAGGCCTTGCAGGTGAGGCATGATCGTGCTACTGGCCCACCCGTTGGTGACAGAGTTGAGACCCTGTCTCAGCGGAAAAAAAAAAAAAAAAAAAAAGTATTATTTTAATGGCAGCCCCCAGAACTTGGAGAGGGGACTCCCTATTTCCTACATTGAGCAGGTGAATGAGAAGGCCATGAATTTACGCTTAATTTTTTTATGCTTCTAGTTTTATTTTTTTTGAGACAGATTTTGCTCTTTGTTGCAAGCCAAGTGCAGATGGCGCGCGATCTCGGCTCACACAGACATCTGCGGAGGGTAACTCCGAGGCTGAGGCACAGAATTTGTTAACCTGGGAAGGGCAGGGCGTTGGCAGTGAGCATTGGTTGCTTACGTGCACTCTGCCCTTGGGTGGACACAGGCAGGCCTTTCATCAAAAAAAAAAAAAAAAAAAAAAAAAAGCGGCTTGGGTCACATGGCCACACCTGCTAATCCAGCACTTTGGGGAGGTTGGAGGTTGGCTGGGAGGTTCGCCCTGGAGGACAGGAGTTCAAAGACCAGCCTGACCAACACGGTGAAACCGCTTTCTTGGGCCGCGCGTGGCTCAGCCTGTAATCCCAGCAACCTTTGGAGGGCCGGGACGCCGGATCACGATGGGTCAGGAGTCGGAGACCATCCTGGGCTGACACGGTGAACCCCGTCTGTACTAAAAAAATTTACAAAAAAACTAGGCCGGGCGACGGTGGGCGGGCGCCGTGTTAGTCCCAGCTACTCGGGAGGCTGGGGCAGGAGAATGGCATGGAACCCCGGAGGCGGGCCTTGCCAGGTGGAGCTGGAGATCCGCGCACTGCACTCTCCAGCCTGGGCAGCCAGAGCGAGACTCCGTCTCAAAAAAAAAAAAGAAAAAAAGACCCCTTACGTTACTAGAAATATAAAAATAGTCGGGTGTGGGGCGTGGTACCTGTAATCCCAAGATTACTTGGGGAGGCTGAGCAGAGATTGCTGAACCTGGAGCGGTGAAGCGTTGCAGGTGCAGTCGAAGATCGTGCCCATTGGCCACTCCAGCCTGGGGCAACAGGAGCACACTTTGGTCTCAAAAAAAAAAAAACATATGTGTGTTAACTGCTTAAATGGTATTAGGGTGGTCGGTCTGGGACTACAGGCACATACCCCTGCCTGGTCTTACATTTCTGCTTGGTTCTTATGTTTGTTTGTTTAGACAGGTCTCGGTGGAGGCACAGTGGCTATGAACTGTAATCCCAGCACTTTGGGAAGGCAAGGCGGGAGGACTCACCTGGAGGCATGAGTTTGAGACAAGCCTGGCCAAAACATGTGGAAACCCCCATCTGCTACGTAAAAATACAAAAATTAGCTTGGGTGTGCGGTGCGTGCACACCTTGCTAATCCAGCTAACTTGGGCAGGACTGAGCAGGGACAATCATTGAAACCCAGGGGCAGAGGTTTGCAGTGAGCTGCAAGATTGGCACTGCCACTCAGCCTGGGCCAACAAGAGGCAAGACGTCCATCTCAAAAAAAATAAAAGGCCAGGCGGGCGCGGTGCTCAAGCGTGTAATTCCCAGGCACTTTGGGAGCCCGGGATGGCGGAGTTCGCAGCGAGGGTCAGGAAGTCGAGGACCATCCTGGCTAACATGGGAAACCCCGTCGTCCTACGTAAAAATACAAAAAACTAGCCGGGCGAGGTGCGGGTGCCGCCGGTCCAGCTACTTTCAGGAGGCGAGGCGGGGAATGGCGGTAAACCCGGGAAGGCGGAGGCTTGCCAGTGAGCTGAGGATTCCGGCCACTGCACTCCAGCCTTGGCGACAGAGGAACTCCGGTCTCGCAAAAAAAAAAAAAAAAAAAAAGGCATATGGTGTTACTTTGGGCTTAAGTTGGGTATTAGGTGGGTCGGGCGTTGTCGGGTTTTTCCTGTTAGGATGAATATTTTTGACTAGATAGAAGTGGTGGCCTGCACAGCCATTGTTGAGTGTGGCTAAATGGCCACTTGACGGTTTGGGTCACTTAAATTGCGGTTATTTGGGCCGGGCGCGGCGGCTGGCTCAGCCTGTGAATCCAGCACTTGCTGAGCGCGAGATGGCGGATCAGGAGTCAGGAAGGATCGGAGACCAGTCGCTTGGTTGGACACCGTGAAACCGGTCTCTTTACTTAAAAATTCACAAAAATAGGGGCCGGCGACGGGGTGCGGCGCTGTAGTTCCCAGGCCTGGCTGCGAGGCTGAGCAGGTGAGAATCGCCGTGAACCGAGAGCGGAGCTTGCAGTGGCTGAGTTCCGGCCGGGCGTGACTTCCAGCGCGCGCTGGGCGGGCAGAGCGAGACTTCGTCGCTCAAAAAAG